CTATAACTTTTCAATGCAATTAAAATAAATGAAAATACAATTCAATACTCAAAGTACACAAATTAATCTAATCTAATTAATTTACAGCAAAATAAAAAATTATGTAAATGACGGATAATGAAATCTCGATTATCACTTTATCATGCGAGAGTATAAAATGTTCGGTGACACCCGAACTTAGCCCTTTCTTACTTGTTTTTAATTTTTTTATTTTTAGTTTTTCTATTATTTTTCCAGTTTCGTAATTTTTGGCTTTTCCTCGTTGATGGCAAATTAGTTTCTTATTTAATGTTAGGAGCATTACATGGTTCGAATTCACACACGTCCATCCCGTTATTTGCGCTAGAAAGTGTAAAAATTCATTTGGCAAAGGAAATGAACTAATTTAGAATGCTATTGTTGTCGCTCTTTGATTCGCACACTTTCGAATTCGCGAAATGTGTGCGTAAATGAGCGGTGTAGTAAGGAAATTGTAAGCAATTACGAGGGTTGCTGAAGCGATTTGTCAACTGGTAGTAAATATATGGTGTTATAAAATAATTTCGCTAAAAAATATTAAAATTTTTGAGGAACAATATAATTTTACTCTATATTTTAAAGTTCAGTTTTTCGTACTTTCTTTTCTTTAAAGAATTTTATTAAATCACTGAAGCTAGTGTCATATTATTCCTATAAAATCAGCACTTATCAACCGAATCTTTTCGGCGTTTTGCTGTTAAAGCTTGCTAATATTGGCGTAGCCTCCAGAACTATAGTTTGTTGGTACTTTTTCCTTTCATTCAAATTTATGAAATAATCTCAGCTATTGTCATATATATCTTCCAATTCCGAAAAAGCAAATGTTGCCTACATTTCAGCGCTTTGCTTTTGAAACTTACTTACAGTCGACATAATTTTTATTCCTTGGTACTTTTTCCGTCTAACTAGTTACAATTTTGTCTAAAAAAAACGGAGCTAGGCCACATTTTACCTCCAAAATATACTGTGCCAAACAAAGTAATCCTTGCCTACATTTGAGCGCGTAGCTATGAAAAACTCGCCGTTCGTACTAGCAGGGATCAATGAGTAAATGTTTTTATAATCATTATGCCCTATATGGGGTATATTAAACTTTGTCTCTAAGCTTGTAAAGTCCCGAAGATAATGTTGGAAAAACTTTAAAGTATATATAAATTATCAGCATGTCGAACTGAGTCTTGAGGTTGAGATTGGGCTTTAACCGTTTGAATGTATATAAGAGTATGCGAACCAGTCAATAAGTTTTACAGATTTTGATCTCAGATTTCGCATACTCGTTTTTCTCCCCGTAAAGCTGCTCATTTGTCGCAACCGACCATATCGAATCACCATAGTTCATGTCTTTGTAGGGAAAACTTTTTTCTTCGTTGAGGTATTTTCACGAAATTTTGCATGGATTATTGCCTCAAGCAACGCTACAGTCTGTAAACAAGCTGCATCAGATCACTATATCATATAGCTGTCATACAAACTGAACAATCAAAATGAAGTCATTGTATGGAAAACTGTTTTCCTTGTCAAGATATTTTAATGAAATTTTGCATGGATTACTACCATAGACTAAGCCACAATCAATGAAGAAATGGTTCAGATCGGACTACTATAGCATATAACAGTCATACAAAGTGAACGGTCAAAATCAGGTTCTTGTATGAAAACGCTTTTATTTTTCGAGATATCTTCAAGAAATTTTGCATGGATCATTGTCCAAGCCAACGGTATAATTTCCGAAGAAATAGCTCAGATCGGCCTACTATAGCATATAGCTGTCATACAATCTGACCGTTGAGAATCAAGTTTTTGTTTGAAATCTTTTGTATTTGCAACCGAAGTTAAAGTTTTTTCTTGTTTATCATAATATTATATACAAACACGGAAATAAATATTATTTCATACAAATTTAAAAACTTTTGCGCTAACCCGAGTATTTACGCCACGGTTAAATTACCATTAAAGGCACATCGTACCTCGCTTGTTAATTACAAAACTCAGCTGCATTCGTTATTTTGCCTGTGACACACGCATTACGGCTGAATTTCAACTAGCTTGTATTTGTAAACTTTGGCTATTTTTAAAATTCACCAAATGTCGTCGTCGTCATCATCAACTTTGTTGTCGTCGGTGTCGCCGTTTGCCAACAAAGTGTGTATCCTTCCTCTTCCGCTTGAAATTCGCATGCGAAATGCAAATCTCATTCACACGCATTTTCCAAAATACAAATATATAAGTTTTCTATACAAATTTGAAATATACATAAATATATATAGATATAGGTACATAAACATAGACATATGGTGAGTATACCAAAATTTAAGTCGTTTACCTTGTGTTAACTTAATTGTCTGACGGAATTGCAATTCGCCACTGCTGTAAATTCAATATTTAATTTGCTTGTCTAATTTATTTTAAGCGTGTAATATTAAACGTCTTCCTTTTCCTAATCTCTTTCGTAAATTCATTATTTAATTTTACCTTTTCCTTTTGTATACTTGCAGCAAATCAAAGATGAACTCGGTGAGGTCGTATCGGAAATGGAGTCGCTGGACGTGCCCGAAGAAAATAAACATTCCAATAAAGAGAAACAAATGTCAATTGGGCGGAAAAAGTTTAATATGGATCCAAAGAAAGGTAAATAATGCATACACGATTTCTATTTGTACTGAAACTCTATAGTTTAATCGAAATTAGTAGGTCGAAGAATTGTGCGAATTATTGCTTCGATTCTCATTTAGTACTTAGTCTAAATAAAACCAAAAATATTGCTAGAAAAACATTATTTATTTATCAATAGAGCCTCCTTAAAGCGATACCTCGAGATTTTCTATTTAATAAGTACAAGCACGGCAAGATAAGTACTCAGCCTACAACAACCAATTTCGGATAAGCCGATTTATTGCTCAATATAGTGTCCTTTTAACTACATACACTAAACCCAGCGATGATCAACTTGCCTATCTCCCTGTTACGATAATCTCCTTATTCGAATAAATTTTTTGCCCGGCGAGTGACTTTTATTAGTTTGGGAACAAAACAGTCGAGACGGAAGAAGTTAGAGTCTTTCCGGGCGATGAAGCCTCTTCCACACGCACTTCTATTAGACTAGAATGGTTACATCGCATTATAGCCGAGAAACCATGTAAACATTGCCTGAGTCACTTTACTCAGGGCCGTATGTCTATATCTACGCAAACAGCTTAGTTTTTAAGATATCGATCTGAGCTTTTGCACACACCTTTTTCCTTCCAAAAAGCTGGTCATTTGTTGAAACCACCGATATCGGTCCACTATAGGATATGGCTGTCATACAAACTGGACGGTGAAACTCAAGTCCCGATATGAAATTTGTTTTAGTTGACAAGATATACGACGAAATTTGGGATAGTTTATTAACTAAGGCACCGCTACAATCTCCGAGCAAATTGTTCAGATCGGAACACTATGGCATATAGCTGCCATATAAATTAACTAATCAAAATGAAGTTCTTGCATGATAAACTTTTTTATTTGACAAGTTAGCCCCAAAAAATTTGGCATATATTATTCTTTAAGGGACCGCTACTATCTCCAAAAAGTTTATCCAGATCGGACAACTATAGCATATAGCTGCCATACAAACTAATCTGTCACAATCTGGTCCTTATATGGAAAACTTTTCCATTTATCGAGATATCTTTAAGAAATTTCCCAAGAGTTATTATCTTAAGCACCGCAACAATGTAAGAACATATTGTTCAAATCGGACCACTATAGCATATAGCTGCCATACAAACTGATCAGTGAAAACCAAGTCCTTGTATAGAAAAACTTTTTTATTTGACAAGTTAGCCCTAAGAAATTTGGCATATATTATTCTTTAAGTGACCGCTACAATCTCCAAACAGTTTATCCAGATCGGACAACTATAGCATATAGCTGCCATACAAACTAACCTGTCCAAATCTAGTGCTTATATGGAAAACTTTTTCATTTGTCGAAATATCTTAACGAAATTCAGCATAGATTAGTACCTAAAGCACCGCAACAATGTAAGAACATATTGTTCAAATCGGGCCACTATAGCATATAGCTGCCATACAAACTGATCGGTCAAAATGAAGATAAAGACCTCTTTATACTACAATATTTTAAGCTATAAAAATGTATCTGTGGATAACTTCAGTGCATCCGCAGTTAACTTTTTTTCTTGTTTCATGTTTTATTATATTTTTGATTTCTTGCTTCTTAATTTTTATTTTCTATATCTTTTACCGGCTCTTAAAATATATTTAACTTTTTTCGCGCGAACTCCTTAACAAGTTTCTCGAAGTAATTGGCCATTAGGGAATACCTTAACCGATAATAACGAAAGAAATTACCCGTGCACAGCAACACGCTTCAATGTGTATTTATAAACGCTTATTAACTGCTGCTGCTTTGGCTTTCCCCAATACTCTTAATAACCGAAAATAAAGTTCTTTGTGCTAAGTGTCGAATAAATGGCATGCAAATGCAAAGAAAAATGCACAAGCAACAACAACAGTGGATGCAACTGCAATTAAGGCGTGTCACTCGCGCCTCTTTTACGCTTAAATATGCCGACGCACAGCCAAGCACACATACAAATGCATGTCCCCATCGTGTCTGTCCCTTTGCGCGTCCACTCGCGGCCTGTTATATTTACATAGACAGTGTTTTTGTTTTCTTTTCATTTTTTTTACACGCTTCGTGTTTCACTTACGATAATTTAATTAAATTAATTAGCCGCACATGCCACTTTTAAACACAAACATCGTTCGTTTTATGTGCATATGTGTGCCTGTATTTGTCGTGGCATTCGAGTAATGTGCCAATCCCTTTCAAATGTCAACGAACTGTCAAATTTGTCAGTCGATATGCATTTAAAGTGTTATTTACTTGATTGCCGCGCAACACACTTCAATTATCCGACTACATCTGCTTTAAAGTTGGCTCGAGTTTGTGCGCCGGTACGCTTTTTTCCCCTCACTTCATTGCTGCTCGCCCGTACATCCTTCAAGTCTTGACATATGTCATACAATGTGATAAAATTGTCATTAATTTGGTGATGTTTGATTCTTCTGCCGCTTTCGACACTGAACGCAGGCTAAGATATTTTCTCTTCACAATTAGGGGGTGTGTTGAGTCGAAAGCACAAAAATTTGCAAACAAAAAAATTAAGGAATTTAAACGATTAATGGATCAAAGCGCCGAATGCCTTTGCATTGATCTTTTTTGTACCATCGCAACATGTTGAGCTGAGTATAATAGTTTTTGTCACCTAACGGTTGGTTAAGTTGACTTGGACCGAACAACTTTTTTTATTCCAGTCCGTAAAAAATAATGAACTAAAAGATCAACTTTTTTCAATACCTGAAGGGGCAATTGATGCGTTCAAAACTCATATTTTGTAGATACCTCAATCAGTGTGGCCAAAGTGCTTCGACATTTGGTTTAAATGTATGCAAAAGTGTATTGATATTATTGGAAAATATAGGTAGTCGAAAAAGTCTTTTCGCATTTTGACAATAGATGTATTTGTTGTCGTATATCTCCAATGCTACCAATCACACAGTGTCACATCATATTTCCAACACTATATAGAAAGGTGAGATTATCAACAAGCTTATGCTAAAGCACCTAGGCTCGATGGGATTAAGTTACCTCAGCAAATTCCTCAACCTGTCGCTCAACACTCTTCTGATGTGTATTTGAAAGTCGGAGAGGTGGTCCCACTACTGAACCCTGGAAAACCCGCCAACAAAGTGGAGTACTACCGTCACTTGTGGCCTTGCAACTCCCGACATTCACTCACAAACTGAGGGGAAGTTGAAACTTTTACAGTTGTTCAAAAATAAGTTAAAATAATGAAGAAATTCGCTATAATTTGAAATTTTTTTTTATAAAAAACGGAAGAGTGCCACGCAACCGACCAAGGGAATTTGTGAAATTTACGGAGACGTTGCTGTATCAGATCGTGTAGCAAAACAATGGTTCGCTCGCTTTTGTTCTGGAAATTTCGATGTGAAGAATGCACCCCGCTCTGGTCGACCTATCCTTGAAAAAGTGGGTGAAATTATGGAAAAAATTGATCAAAACCATCACATAAGCAGCCATGACATCGCTACGGAACTTAATTCTTTGCTGAAACGAAATGAAATCGAACCATTTCTGAAGCGAATGGTAACAGGAGACGAAAATTGGATAAAATATGACAATAATGTGTGAAAAAGATCATGGTCCAAGCGAGGTGAAGCTCAACAAATGAGCGCAAAGGCCAGGATTGGCGGCTCGAATGGTTATGTTTGGTGGAATTCGAAAGGAATCATCCACTATGAGCTGTTCCAGCCTGGTTGAACGATTGATTCTACATTTTACTGTCAACAACTGATGAGATTGAAGCAAACAACCGAAAAAATAGGCCCAAAACTGATCAACAAAAAAGGCTTCGTCTTCCATCAGGGCAACGCTAGACCACGCACATTTTTCATGACTCGGCAAACAGTGGAAATTGGCTGGGAAGTTTTGATGCAACCACCATATAGACCCGCTCTTGCACCATCGGACAATCTTTTATTTCTGTCAAGACAGAACTCTCTTAATGGAGTAAAGTTGGCTTCAAGAGAAGCCTGTGAAAATTATTTGTCGCAGTTTTTCGCCGAGAAACCAGACAAGTTTTGCACTGAAGGAATAATGTCTCTAGCGGAAAAATAGCAAAAATTGGTCGACCAAAATGGTACATATTTGGTTCATTAAAGTTCATTATAAATATAAAAAAAAAAGTTGAAGTTTGTTTAGTAATACGAAAAGACTTTTTCGACTACCCCATATTGAGGTAAAATATTAAATACTTCGATCTTGCAAATTGTGCGAGCTTAGCATTTTCGACTGCAGCCGAACTTATCCCTTTCCTACTTGTTTTATTGTTTTTTCTCTTTTTTTTATATTAAATATGCCGTGAAGACAGCAATTTGCTCGGCAATTTAAACACAATTGTGACTCTGTGAAAATGAAGGGTTTTCCATAACCTAAAATATATGGGCGCTGATTACCAGCGAAACGCCGCAGTCACTTAATTTTGCGTAAATAAAAATTTACACACACATATACCTAGTTATATTTGTAGTCAATGCTGACGCACCTCTTTTTCAACGCCACTTAATCGCTCCAAACCGACAGTTATCAGCGTAACCGCAATTTCCAAACAATGAAAAGCATAACAACCTAACACATGCCCATGCAGCAGCGTTTGTAACGGTTTATACTTTTGCATTTTGCGAAATCGTCACCAACTATTATTATTATTATTATTATTATCATAATAACCGACGTCAGCCATCCATCACCGGCACACACGTCAACAAATACCAGTATATACCGCGATTTATACAATATATTTACATGTAGGTGTGTATGTATGTATGTATATTCAGCTTATAGTTGCGCGTTCGGGGGGGCGAAAACATACAGCGGCGCTTTCGTCACCGATTTAATTGCCGCAAATGCTTCATTGGCTGTCGGCATCGGCATGTCTGCTCATTCATTTTGTTGCCATTTGTGGTGCTCCCCATGCGCACCGCGATTGCCGCCAGGCCACAGCCGTCACTCCACAGTCAACAACTCACCTTAAATATGTTGCTTGCGCTGTATTTTTTATACATTTGTACATGTGTACATATATGTATGTATGAGCTACTAATCTCTCTCTGTTTGTTTACTTTGTTGTCTGCTTCCAAAATCTAGATTGGATTATGTGGTCGCTCTTCTTCTGGTTTGTATGTAAATACAGTTCTGCTTCTGATTGCTCTTTTCCAGTCTGTATAAAATTTCAGTGTTTTCACAATTCTTTCACCTCGGTTTTGTGTGGATTTTTTCGATTTGGTTTTGTCGCATTATCATGTTTTCTTTTTCAGCTGTGCGAGTAACGTTTTTTTTTTTTTTTTTCTTGGAATATATCCTGTATTGAGCTTGATAGGTGTTTAGTGGGTCTGTGTACAGAGACAGTTCGCATTGATCGTGATTTTCTGCAAATAAGCTGGGGTTCTCCGTCTACTTTATTTCTGAATATAGTCGACGATATTTGTGGTCACAATTCCAAAAGCCGTTAAGCCGACTCACAGTAAAACCCAGTTTTTTCTCAAATTCAGATTTCTGAGATTTTCACAGTATTAAAAAATTTTTTTTTTTTACACTTAAAAAAATGTTCGAAAAAATCAAGTACTGACTTCTTAGATACTTTACATCTTACCTTCTTTATCGGCCGAACTCATGTTCTCGAGTAATACTGCTGTAAATCCTATCCTTGGTGCCATAAAAGTCAAGGTCTGTTTCGATTACACCGGCCCAACTGCCTCAAGAAGATTTCCGAGAGGTTCGCAGTATCAAATTTTCATTTTTACACTTAAAAAAATTTTCGAATAAATCAAGTTCTAAAATTGAATTTTTGACGTCAAAATCAACCCTGCAAATGACTTCTTAGATGTTTTTAAGCCATTAGGCTTGCGTTTTCTTTTTAATCGACGGTCAAGTCAAGATCTGTTATACCAACCCAACCCAACAGGTGATCTAGTCACTCTCCCATGCATACTTCTTTGCATTGCAGCTATTTCCTTTCCCAGAATTCCTTTGTGACCTGGAACCGCGCCGCTTTTCGGTGGATGCTATATCTACTGCCGCCTTGCTTCTAAGGACATACTTTGACGCAATGCGATGTAGGATTATTGTCTTATATTCCGATGAGATTATTGCCTTATTTGCCGGCTGTCTATCGACGTATAAGTATATTTATCCTTTTTTTGTTATTTCCTGCGCTTTTAACTATCTCAGCCGCAAAGACTTCCGCTTGGAAGATACTGTAGTATTCTGGAAGCTTGAAGCGTCGTCTCGGATGCAGTTTTGAGCAATATATTCCGGCTCCCACTCTCTTAGACATTTTTGTTCCGGCTGTATAAATGTTGGAAGCTGTTTTTTGTGAAATATTTTATAGCTCATAGTCAAAATCATTGTCACAATCTTATTCCGATCGTTACCTGACAAATATATCTAAAAAGTCGTGTAAAAAACTCGATCGATCCGACCGTTTGGAGATAATCCCAACCGTTTCGGAAACATTTTCCTAATGGATTCTAAGAACAGTGTTTTGAGAGAAAACCGGGTTTAAAGCTTTGGGAACCAATAAATGAAAAAAAAAAATCTTAGAAATACGCTCAAATCTCCGGAACTATTTGCCGGATGAGCTCCAATTTTTCGAAGAATATTCAAAAATATATGTTATGAAAATAAAAATAGTTTTTTGAAATTCACTAGCGTCTTTATAACCGATTAACCAAATCAGAAAGGATTCATCAAGTAGTTGGTATTGTAATTACTCTTCAGATAACTTTCCTTGCTTAGATTTAAATTTTGAGCGTTCCCGGTCCAGGGGAGCCCTACAGGGTCTCATTTCATTTCCATTTATCCAATGTCTACTTATATCTTTGCTATATTTACTTTGTGTCCATACTGTGCGCATGGTATTTATCCGTATGTTGGGCACACCTTCATTTACCAGTGTGTACATATCAAGAATGTAATTGATGCTGTGTGTACAATTCAATTGCAACACACAACTTAATTTCAATTAATTTCAAGTTCTCTTTGACATATGTAGTATGTAAATATGGGTATAACAATTGTTTGTCTTATTTTCTTTTTTGGTAGTTATTTCTTTAAATTTTTTTTGGTAAGTTTCTTTTTTAATTTTTTT